GTAACTTCTAATAAAATGGCCAGAGAGTGACCTTAATTCAGGGGTGTCTGTAAATGGTCATTGTGGCTGCAGGTTTTCATTCCAACCAGGCAGGTGCACAACTGATTTCTGTTTGATTAATCAGTTGGTTTCAGTCCTCAACAACTGATCAGGTCAACTCCTGCTCTGTTGGATGGAAACCTGTTGCTACACCAGCCTTTTGTGGATAAGACTTGACATCCCTGACTTAATTCCTGAAAAGGAAACAGGAAAAAAATTTAAGATGCTCAACAAAGAAGATGCATTAAGACAAGAATGCATTCAGTTAATTGTTTAATGATGGAAATTAAGTGTATATACAGGAAATTATACAGGAAAAATAGCCTACCTCTATTGCTGTCATTTGTGACCAAATGGTTTAAAACCACAGAGTTATTCAAACTGACAGCTTGCAAGGCTGGATGTATGAGACTTAAATGTCCCACCTTGATTTTGTTCATCCTTGACTTTTGGTGTAGAGATGTTTGTTACTAATTGACTTTTCTGCTCCTGTCTTGCAGTTTTGCTCTCTTGCTAGAATTTGCAGAAGAGAAGCTTCAGGTCGATCACGTTTTTATCTGCTTTCAGAAAAACCGTGATGATAGAGGTAAGTCCTCTCCTCAGGTCTTTGTCTGTCTTGATAGTGTTTGGAATCAGTGCTTGGTACCTTATGCTTTCTCCCTGTCTCCCTTCAGCATCGCTACTGCGGACGTTCAGTTTCCTGGGCTTTGAGATTGTGAGGCCTGGTCATTCCCTTGTCCCATCCCGCCCTGACGCTTTCTTCATGGCTTACAGCATCGAAAGAGACTCGGACGACGACGATGATGAATAATGCTTATTAATACCACGCTTCAATGATTTTTGTGCTCGTTCACCCCAACGTTATCATTGAAAGAATCTAAAAGATTATCAACACACTGCATTGATTGTTTTCTGTGAATTATTCTTCAGTAGTTCCCCTAAAAGTTGTGCTGTATTTCAGTGATATTTGCAAACCAGGATTTTCACTGCAATCATTAGGCCATAAATCATTGTCTATTGGGTTCACCACCTAAAGTAATTGTTTAATGCTGGTTCTACTATTCCCGTTCCCACACATTGCTTTGTAGATTGTAATATTTATGGTTAAAATTCCCATTCAACAAAAATGTATGTAAGTAGTTTTGTTTCCAGTGCTATTTCATATTGATTTTTCATGTTTGTTTTGATTTTTATTAATGTGTGCATGAATCTTCAAATTTTTTATGTTCCAAGTTGGATGAATCTGCATGTTGTAACAGTGCAGAATAAATGTGCTCACCCTATGCAGTGGTTTAGTTTTACTTCTTGTATGTTTGTATGAGTTATGCCCATTAACGCTTCGGAGAGTGTGAGCCTGTGACGAGACTGATTAAGCCTAATCTTAGTCTCCCACTGTCTGTACTAAAAATATGAGATCACCCTTCCTTTATTTAATTTCCACTCAAAGTTGCCAGTAAGCAGTAAGTCTGTAGGGATGCTTTTCCACACTTTGTATAAGCACTTCAGTCTTAGAAATTGCTTGCATCTTGTACTGCTTGTGGTCCAAGTAGTCACACATTCTGCAATGTTGAGGTGCGAACTCTGGGGTGCACAGCCCGTTGCTCCGAGAATACCAGCAGCTTCTTCTTATTTTCAAGTTTTCCTCTTTTTGTGTGTTTCTTTTTTCTCAGTACAGCTTCTTGGCAGCTACATGTCCTTTTATAGACAGAGCATTGAGTTGTCGTCTTACAGTGGAAGAATGGACAAATAACTGTTCTTTCAGAGCTGAAGCAAGAGTGGAGCTTGGTTTCTCTTCTTGCAAAGATGGAAGCTGCTGTTTATCTGATGGTAATAGTTTTAGTAGTTTAGGTTTCTGACATTTACATATTGCTCTACATTCAAGAAAGCAGGCCTTATTTGTGTAAGATGAAAATGAAATGGGTGCTTATGTTTTTGTATTGAAGTATGAGCCGCAATGTTGATCTGTTATGACAACCTTTGCTTATATTTTCTGTTGTTCCTGGTAGACAGCAAATGAAAATTAGACTAAAGTAGAAGTACTAGGTGTCATTTTCTACGTGCTTGCTGCTTTGCTAGCATTTTTTGGAAACACTTGGGCTGTGCAGTGTTTTTTCTTTGCTCTTAAACTAGCCTTACGTTGCTGTACAGGCCCAACTGTGCTGTTGTCTTAAGTACAGTCTCTGGCTCAGCAAGGGCGATATACTGCAGGCACAGATACTCCTCCCAATCCAAATCATTCTGATTTGAGAATAGTCCCTTTTCAGCCAGCTTCAACATCAGCAGCGAGCGTTTCACTGTCAGCCAGTTGTGAAGCACTGTTGTGTTTGGTTGGTTCTTCTCAAAGAGTCCAGCTCGGGGGCCCCACAACAGGGCCTGAAGAACTCCTACTATTTCCACCATTTGAAGGCCTGGATTCTCACCAGTTAGGTGGCTGATCAGGCGAAGCAGGCCAGATGTGTACTCAGTATTTTGGTCCATATGCTGGTGCAGACAAAACTTAAGCAGGGTTCCTAGTTGGAACCCATTAGTTGGCGCATCTTGAAAAGATTCAGCTTGGACGTTGGTGTGGCTAATCACAACACGAGGAGTGCCCCACCTCTCCCACAGTGTATGAATCCTTTTCATGCTCTTGTTCTCATGCAGGATGTTACCCTTGCCAGTACTTTCCCTCTCAGGATAATCTGTGTTTATTCCAAGCCAATTCCTTTTCTTAACTTCCTTCAGATCTCCAACGGCTTCAACCTTCCCCATTGACCTCTTGTTCTTGGTATGCAACCACACCAGCATAATTCTTTGTGGTCTCAGTTCCGCATGCTTGACATTGTGACTGTCTAGATGCTGCAAGCCCAGCGCCAGCTGGACAATCAGCAGGCAAAGCCGCCTCTCATACACATCAGGCTGCGAATGGTGCAGAGAAATTCCCTCCTGGACAAAGTCCTCCAGCGTTCCCCAGGGAAAATCCCTCACTATAGTGACTGCATGGCCTCTTTCCAGGAATGATAAGACTGTGTCCCCCTTAGTGACGGTATCAGATTCCTGGCTTAGCTCAGCACTGCCCTCATGTGATAATTCTGATGCTTTCGTTACAGCTAATAATTTTGAGAGCTGTTGTTTTTCCTGTGCCATGCATGGTAAAAAGTGGGCCAACACTTGTTCAACATTGGGATGAGGCAGCAGTGGGACTGAGCAAATTGATACAGAATCTTTTCGGTGTACCTGAGATGAGAAAATGTAGATACATGTGAGTATTCTTTAACACTTTGTTCAGACTACACAAGTTAATATTAAAGTGGACACAGGTATATTCATTTAAAGGGGCATTCAGGCCTAAAACTAGCTATTAATATGTTATTTGACAGCACTTTATCCCTCAGCCTCACTGGTTTGACAACATTTATGATTTTGTATCCTTTTTCTGTTTTCTTTCGTCACCGTACCTCGCATGCATCATACAAATACCTCATACGGCCACTGCGATTCCCCCCCAACAATGATTTAGAAATGCGCTGATGTAGAGGCCTTTTGAGCAGGTAGCACTGGTGTTGCAAAAGTAAAAGTTGCAAGCACAAATTAAAATTGATGAGATAAAAACTACATAAAATGCTTCTTAAAAGTATTCTTCTAAGCAAGTGGAACAATTTTTAAATTTATTTTGTAGATTAATTGCAGCAACAAACTTCATTTTTCTATTTTAAAGTTTTTTGGCATATTTTTAAATCCTAATTCCCATTACCACACGTGTCCACATACATGTATATAGTTTGAGCCTTTATGTTAATGTTTTCCTTGCAAACTGTAAGGAAGTGGAAGTAAAAAGAAAACCTTCAGTGGCTGTCAGTGTGTTGTAGTGATTACATAAAATTGCAATAAACACTATATTTAATAATTAATAATTACTTAATTAAAAAATTACTTAGCCCGACAACAGCATGGAAATTCTAGAAAGAAAAGACATTACATTATCTACAGATTTACCTTATTTACAACTTTACTGTGTTGCAGCAGTGAGTATCTGGTCACAAAAATGTTACTAAAAATCAATTTAAAATCAAGTAAATCATTCAGGTTTATTTTTATTTATTCAACCCGGCACCACTGTTTGAATATCCAAAAAAAGGAAAACATGAAGTTTTAGTCACTTAATGTAATTAATTCTCTAACTTGAATTACCTGATGGACTACAGTTATCAAAGACTGTGCTTGACTACAACTAATTGACTACAACTTCCATGAGCACTTGCACTTGAAAAATATTTGAATGCCACACTGTCACACTGTACCATCCTGGATGTGATATGCCTTCCTTCTGCACTGGCCAACTAGAGGGAAAAAAATAATTCGAACAGACTGCCCTCCAGTACTCGCCCAAAAGCGCTTGTAGTTTTTTAAAAAATCTCCAAACTTCAAGATATATTCATCAGAAGTATCGATATAAATACAATGTGCATATAAGATGACTTTGAGCCTTTTTCACACCCTCATAGTAAGTCGTTAGTGCCTTTGCACAACACCTGGTGACAAAAAGGAAGTGTGGGTCAATGAGGTTTAGTTCTCTGAGCAGTGGGTTGCCTTATAAGGGTGTGAGTGCTGTCTGTGGCTTAGGGGTACAGTATGGGAAAGTGTCTGTTTAGAACAAAGCCTCTTTTCTTTTGTGCCCCAAGCTGCCTGGCACACAATATTAAGTCTTTGTGCTTATATTTTCCTTGATTTTAACTTATCGTTTGCTCCTGATATTCCTGATATTCCCACTATGCACTGACAGTAATGGCCTACATTTCATAATGGAAAAACAACATTGATGTGTAGGTTTTGCCTCACCTTTGCAGAGAAAAACCCCTCAGGGACTTTAGGGACGTGCACCGCGAAGAAAACATCTTGCTCCGTCTTCTCAGGCTGAGGATTCTCACATATCACAAAGTCCTGAGGTTGGACTGTCCTCACCCACTCAGCTTGCAGTTCTTCTAGGAGGACCTGTGCCTCCAGGTGCTTCACAGCGTTCCTCACAAACTCAAGGTAACGATTCTGGATGCCCACATACACTTGCTCCTGGTGACAGAAGCTGCTGAAAAAGCCTGGAAGATGCTGATCAGGGGTGTCAAAGGTTAACTGGTTGAAGCAGTAGGCCTTAAGGGTATCCTCCTTCTTATGCTCTCCAGAATGGTCCAGTGGTGGGTTTTCAGCCATGTAAGGTGGACTTTCAAAGCAGCGAGGATTCTGGACATGGGGGAACAGAGTATCTGTGGGCAGTGACAAGGTCCGTGCCAACTTCTTCTTGGGAATTGGAGGAGGTGTTTGGTCTGAGAAGAATCTCTCCTGGTGATAGCCTGAAGTTTCTTAAAAACACACACACCAGGCTGACTGGTTATACTCAGGAATACACACTAACATGGGACATTCTGGCCTAAAACTAGCATTTAATATGTTGTCATATTATTCAATATTCTGTAGCGTAGCATTGCATTCCCTGCATGTTTTTGTCCATTTCACTACAATACCCAGCATGCATTGCACAAAATGCATCATACAACCACTAGAAATCCCTCCACTGACATGAAGAAATTGACTGATGTAGAGGCTAATAAACACATGGTGTTCAGCTTCTTAGCAGTAATATTAGATTTTTAGTATCCTTCAGCGATCGCCAACTAACAGGAAAAATGCAAGCAGTCTGCCTAAATGTCTCTGCCCAAAGTCTTTGTAGTTTTCCAAAACTTCCTCCCACCTTCAAGATGCATCATCAGAAAGGGGTTTTCCCAACCCTTACAGCATTTGGCAGACGCTCTTATCCAGAGCGACTCTGTTTTGATAATTTTACACAAGAAGGTGAAGGTAGTGTTTGGAGTCTTGCACAAGGACTCTGTGGCATGCGCAAAGCCCGAGCTCCGCCGAGGGACGCCAGTCACGCGAGTGAAGGCGGGAGGAAGCAGAAACGACAAAAGACTGAGGAGCAGCAGGTGAAGACCCGACAGATGGTCAGGAGCCTGCTGGCGGAGCGGCAACCCTCGGTGTGCGTGGGGGCAGGAGCCCCCCTCTCACCACCCCCCCAAGCCTCCAGTCCCAGCTCCCAGGAGGACTGGAAACGTTTTCCCCCCTCCCCTTCCTGCTGTCTTCGCCGAGGTTCGTCGCCGCTGGGTGTTCGGGGGGCGGGCGCATGCCACAGACTAGTATTGGTATAGTGTAGGGTGCTTACCCAGGTGGGGAGATGAACCTCAGTATACAGCATAGAAGGCAGAGGTATTACCCACTACACTTACTCAACTGACTCAAACTGCATTGTGTAGTAAAAATGGATCAAAGTATTTTAGATTATAGCTGTTTGCGACATACACTCACTGTTCACTTTATTAGGTACACCTACTTACCACATTCATTTCTATGCAAAAGTCAGAGACCATCCTCCATTCATTTAATTTCTAGTTAAAACAGCCATTAAGTACAAATTCATTTCAGCAAAGCAGAAAACTCCTGTATATTTAACAGACAATTTTATATCTTTATCACAGCTTGAATTATATATATATGTATATATATATATATATATATATATATATATATATATAGAGAGAGAGAGAGAGAGAGAGAGAGAGAGAGAGAGTCATACAACTTGGTTGCATTTTCTGTAGAGTTGTCTTCTCACAGTGGAAGGACTGACAGAAACAGCTGTGTATTTTTTCAGATCTGAAGCGAGAGTGAACTTTGATTTTCTTTTCTTTTTTTAAAACATGAAAGAAGTGCTGTTTGGGGACAGTTTTGGTGGTCATTAGATCCCAGATGTTAGGAGTCCCATTTTCTGTCTTTGATAACCTTTTTTCTTTTGATTTTCCCCTTCCTTATGAAAGTGGGTTTTATATCTAATTCCAACACTATACGAACATTGGGAAGGGCTTCCCTTTGCTCTTAAAGCAGCCTGAATTCTTTGTGGCATGGATTCTTCAGATTTTTCAGGTGCACTTTCATGCTGCAAATCTCCCGTTCAACCACTTCCCAGATTCAGATGACTGGGAAGGCCACTGAAGAACAGTGAACTTATTGTCATATTCACGAGCCCAGTTTAAGATGACTCTTGCCTTGGGATATGGTGCATTATCATACTGGAATTAGCCATTAGAAGATAAGTAAATTGTGGCCATTAAGGGATGTACAAGGTCAGCAACAATACTCAAATAGGCTTAGGCATTCAGGCAATGATTGATTTGTATTAACAGGCCCAAAGTGTGCCAAGAAAACATTCCCCACACCATTACACCACCTCCACCAGCCTGGACTGTTGACATAAGGCAGGTTGGGTCCATGGATTCATGCTGTTGGCACCAAATTCTGACCCTACCATCTGTGTACCTCAGCAGAAATCAAGATTCATAAGACCAGACTGCATTTTTTCCAGTCGTCTGCTGTACAGTTTTGGTGATTCTGTTCCCACTACAGCCTCAGCTTTCTGTTCTTGACTGACAGAAGTGAAACCCAATGTGGTCTTCTGCTGTTGTAGCCCATCCGCCTTAAGGTTCGACATGTTGTGCATTCTGAGATGCTTTTCTGCTCGCCACAATCACAAGTATAGAGTGGTTATCTGAGTTATCATTGTCTTTCTGTCAGCTCAAACCAGTCTAGCCATTCTCTGTTGACCTCTCTCATTAACAAGGCATTTCTTTCTGCACATTGTTTCTTTAATGCACTATTTTGAGTAAACTCTAGAGACTGTTATGCATGAAAATCCCAGGAGATCAGCAGTTATAGAAATATTCAAACCAGCCAAATCATGACACAACCAAAATCACTGAGATAACATTTTTTCCCCCATTCTGATGGTTGATGTGAGCATTACCTGAAGCTGCTGGCTCATATCTGCATGATTTTATGCTCTGCATGGCTGCCACACAATTGGCTGATTAGGTAACTGCATGAATGAGAAGTTGTATAGGTGTTCCTAATAAACTGCTTGGTGAGTGTTGATAATGCAAATGCGTTTTCTGACGTTTGCACAATACTATAGGTACACTTTATACACTCTCTACAGTCTGTTTCTCTGCAGAATGTAATACCCCTCCCCTTTCCATTGCATACAACAACTACAGAATACCCCAATATGGTAAGTGTACCTGATAAAGTGAGCCTCAGAGATGCAAGGTACTTAATATCTAATAAAGTAGTCTGTGAATGTTACTATCGCTTTACGCTGAAGTTACTAATTAAAGATCAGGTATTCTTCAGCCTATATAGATGTCTCATATCATGCATGTAAACACAGGCTCACACCTGTGCCATCACCCAGCTGTGATCTAGCACACCATGCAAGGGTATGTTGTGACATTTGCTGAGAACTTGTGCAGCTCTTTCAGTTTTTTGGCACACAAAATGCAATGCGGTTGAGCTGTCAGGTGGCTCACAGGTTTGGTTTCAGATATTACTTCCCCTTATTCATTTCATGAAAACAGAAGCAGGACCAAAAAAGGTGCATACAAAACTCGAGCACGTAACTATGACTACAGTCATGTCCTTATCACCTAAGTTAGGTTACATTACTGTCGAGTTTCAGTTTCAAGAAATTAGCCTTGTTATGCACTTACTCACCATAGTGGTGATGGATTGGGCACTGGGCAGCGTTGCAGTCAGTCAGGGCAGCAAACACCTCAGTAAAAGGTGAGGAAAGAGGAGAAGAGCCAGGCACATTCAGGGTCCCCTCCAGCTGTAGATCTGGAGCAGAACTTGAACTGGAGGAAAGACTCCTGCACAAGCACAGGTTATTCAGCTTGATACGTGTTAGGGTTGTCATGAATACTCAATTAAACATGATGACTCAAAAAAATCTATCTAAAGATTAGATATGAAAATGAGTGTCATTATCTTGGCAAATCTGAGCACAATGTCTGATTTTTTTTGAGATACACTAGTAAAACTCAGAGAAGACACATGTAAGATTACTCCAGCTGCAGGAGACCTATGAGCAAACATCTCCTTTATCTTTCTATCTGGTCTCATTGTTGTTTACGAGAACCTACAGAGATATTAGATTTTTCTTTCCTGTAGGATTTACTTGGTTTGTGAGAAGCAGAAAATGCAACCAACTTCTAAAACTGAACTTTGGAGGTGTGGAAAAACATCCTTGCAGATTTCTTTGAAAAACTGAAAGCAATTCTATTCAGAAGACTGGAAGCTGTAATAAGGGCAAAGACTAAACACAGTGAATACTGAAAGAAAATGTTATATTTGTTGAGGTTTAAGTGTAATTTTCTGCTTTATTTGACTGAAAAATGAATAACTTGCACTTAATAGCAATTTTGACTGGAAATTAAATAAATGAAGGGGTGGTCTCTGAATTTTTATATATAAATATGTATTTCAGAATGTTTGAAGAGCTATGGTTGGTTTTGCTAAGTTAATGTTTATCGTTGGGCCTAATTATCAGAAATAATCGGTAGATCATTAATAGTGATACGGCCTATTTGTGCATCCTTTTCACATAGTTCAGAGCAAATGAGACATGCAAATGCTAATGAAATGACTAAGCATGTTAGTGCATCTTTCATACAGAGTTGCAAGCTATTTTAGTGCATGGTATTTGCAGATTTGCAGTAGTGTTGTAGTATATACAAAGTTATGTAATAGCGTCTATTATGTGGGTCATCAGACAGCACAGAGTTAAAGGTGCCGCTAGTTTACCTGCGCTGTTTGATGGGCAGTGCAGGGGGCTTCCTGTCTGTTGTAGCTCCTTGGAAACTGTAGTCCATTTCTGAGAGCTTTTAGCCAGAGTGGTTTGTCAGCCTCCGTCAGAATGTCTGAGTGTGAACGTACTCACTTCTCCAAATGTCAGTTCCTGTAGGGTTATTCTTCTCATGCGTCAATTCATAGTCTCTCTCTCTCTCTCTCTCTCTCTCTCTCTCTCTCTCTCTCTCTCTCTCTCTCTCTCACTTTCTTGCTCTTACCTCACTTTATCTCTGTCTGAGGTTGGAAGCGGAACACTCGTGTCTTACTGAGCGTCTCTTCCTTGCTCTAACCTCAAGCTTCTAAAACCCGGAACACATCTCCAAAACTCTTGCTGAACTGCTTCTGACTTTTGCTTGCATAGCTGATATTTATTAAAAATAAATAATAATAATTAGAGCTTTTTAAGTAATTTCAACCTACTGGCTGTCTGTCCATTTGACTTTTGAGGCACTAGAGGTTGCACATACTGATTTAGGAAGAGAAGCTGCATGACTGACATAGACAACTTATCTTCTATATCTTTATCTTATCTGCTATGCCGTGCCAAGTCAGAGACCGCCCTTCGTTCATTTCATTTCCAGTCAAAACCTTCAAGTACTTTCAGTTCAAGATAATCGCTTTTGTTCAGCATCAGAAAAAAAGCGAAACACATGTACAGTCCTATGCAAAAGTTTAAACACCGCTGATCAAATGTCATGCTTTGTTGATTTTCTAAGTAAAAATACGTCAACACACCCCTTACAGAGAACAAATGTAAACATTGCATTTTTCTGCAAAGTTCAAATTTCTAAAAATGTGCTGAGTGTAACATACTCTGAAAAAAAACTGAAAAATAAAAAGCTCTATAATTGAGAAAGGCTAAGATTAATATTGAGAAACCAGTCTAGCTATTCTCTGTTGACCTCTCTCATTAACAAGGCACTTCTTTCTTTCTTTCATGACACTGAAATCACTGAGACGGCACACCCCTTACAGAGAACAAATGTAAACATAAAATTTTTCAGCAAAGTTCAAATTTCTAAAAATGTATGTAACATGTTGGAAAAAATACAACTGAAAAATAAAAAGCTCTAAAATTGAGAAAAATTGAGAGATTAATACTGAGAAAGCCTCGTATTGGAAAGTGATGATCAAATCTCAAGGCAGATTCCTGGTACTATTCTAAACATAACATCTAATAGTTTTAAATCTTAATTTTATCCCAAACCCAGCACTTTGTTTACTAAATGATGGTAATTTTTTACACTCAATGAATGCAGAATGCTATCTTCTGGGTTTACTGCAGCTAAAAAGTTTATCATTCAAATCTGGTTTGCTCCTAATTATAAAGACCACCTGCACACAAAAAATATATGAAGCACTACATAGCAGCTTTGTACATCATGCATAAGCTTGAACCTATTACAGACTAATATACTTAAATATTGCCAATCAGAAGATGTTCCAGGTGCTGGCAAGAGCCGTAAGAGGTGACCTGAGGCCTGCCCTCGAGCTCAAAGTGCCATCAAGAGACACGGGAAGCAGCATGAGCCTGCGCTGCTGAATGCAAAGCCAGTGACTTGTTAAAGCTGCACTTTGTAACTTTTGCAAATTTGGGGAACTAGCAACGTTTATGTAAATGCACGAAATGTGGGGAAGAACATTTTGTAACATAGTGTTGGGCTGCAGTGGCGTCTGCTTCACCACAGATAACCGATAGCTAAGTAACATCACTATTCATTCAACAGCTGGGACTAATGAACGTGTCCATTAGTTATGTGAGCCTCCACTGGCTAGTCTTGTTTATCAAACAATGGAGGATGAACTCTGAAGCAAAAAAAGACAAAGTAACTGGCAAATATTAGCCAATTAGCCAGTGTTAGCTATACAGCTAAAACAGCATCACAGTTACAAGGGTACATTGCATTACATTACAAGGGTAACAGATTTTTCATCTGGCTGGCTGTTTTCTGTAGCTAGCCACCTCTGAAAAGCCAAGCCAGTATTGATTCTGGTCTTAGCTCAAATTCTGTTGCTTTCCCTTTTAGCTTTTTCTGACAAATTGTGCTAGCTTGATGAAATGTCCTCCTGTAGCGCATATTTATAGGTAGAGCTCTACATAAAAGGATATTTTGATAGCCTAAATCCACAAGGCTGAAGTCAGCTTCTGTTCCACCTTAAATGGTGTAGCAGAGAAATTTTGCTGCCTCAGGCCACTGAGGCATGCAGGCACCAATTAAGGTGGAATGGGAAAATTTGAAAATTTGAGGAAGCTGGCGGATAAGAAGCTGACTTCTGCCTTGTCTAAATCATAAGTAGTAATATTAATCTGAGTGTACTAAATTAACATTAAAAACATTTCTACGCAATAGCCTACTGATAATATGCGCATGCTCAGTGGGACTGCTTCATTGGAAAGTCAGATTGTTAGAACACCGATTCTCTTCATTTCTACATTTCTTGGTTTTGATCATGGAGGACGACTGGGTTTGCCCTTTTGATATTTCCGTATACAGCGATATCTCTCGCCTTGCTTTCACTTAATTTCACTAAATTTAAAAAATAAATGATTGTAGCATATTGTTTATCATTTTATAAGTTCTTGGTCATGTTGTAACTACTGGGGTGCCAAGAGAAGCATTCGCAGTGGTGCCTACGGCGCAGGTGGGCTCAGAGCAACCAGGACCCCTAAAATCTTTATTAGGCCCCTCATACAGATACTGACACAGTTGTGAATTGTACATCCATAAGTCACAGAAAATTTCTTAACATACCTCACCAGTTAGCTGCCATCGTCACAACACAGACAGCCCTGATGTCTATTTATCTCCCTCTTTTTCATAATGTATTTCATCAGTGGTAACTGTTTTCATCCTTTACAATCTGCAGCATAATATATTCATTATTTAGGTATTATATTAACATTTTTAATACGTGGTCTTATGTAAACATTTAGGTTAGTGTTAGATGCTACTGTGTGGGGTGACGTGTTAATAGGGATAACAATAGCATGTTAGAAAGCAAGTTATTTTTCATTTGTTGAAATTAATTTTTGTGTGGAGGACATTCATTTTTAACTGGGGCCCATAATATAGGGGTTCCAAAAATAAAAACAACAACACAAAAACAAATATACAAACAAATATTAAAATCCTCTTTAGCACCTCACTTATCCGTTGGGGACCTGCTGCACAATTGCTGAGAAAACATAAATATGGCCTGTACAAAAATTATGGCAAATTTTATATTTTCTGTTTTTTTCCCAATATGTTAAACTCAGCAAATAAATAGAAATCATGTGCTAACAAATGTCACATCTAAATGTTTTTGTAAAGGATGTGTTCACTTATTTTTGCTTAAAAAACAACAAACCATGTAATTCGTCCAGGACATTCAAAACACATTTGGGACTATTAACTGACTTGCATGTAAAACCTAACAACTAAAATTCTTTTGATTTGAATGAACCTGTACTTTAATTATGCTTATTTTATTAAAATTGTTTGTATAACATTTTTCTATTTAAAATTAACTCATGATAAACCAAAGTCCTTCAACTTTCAAAGAAGTACACACACACACTATCTAAGCCAGGTGCTGGAGCCTATCCCAGCAGTCATTGGGTGGAAGGCAGGAAACTCCTTGGTCAGGTCCATCACAGGGCAGAAATCAAATATTTATTTAAAAACATTTTTAAAAGGAAAAATATAAATATTATTTTTACATGTTATAATTTAGGGGTTAGGGTTTCGGACATGCACCTCCTATTTGCAAATACCGTATAAATGATAAATTTGTATGTATTTAGTATGTATTACTATCTCTATTAATTCCTTGGATTTAAATAGATCATAACAATCCTTGTAAATGTCTAAGATCTGATTACTTAATTGTTGTTTTAAATAGTTTATTGGGGTGGCAGTTTGAACTAATTGAGTAGAATGGTCCATACATACATACATATATATAGCAATTATTATGTATTTTCCCAAGAAATAATTGGCAATAATTAATAAAAAGCAATTTTTAATATAACAAGTGATTCCAAACTTTTGAACAGTAGTGTAAGTGTTCATTAGCTCCAAACAGAAACCCCCACACTGGCTCATCTACAAGCAAACATTACTGAAGTGTGTGAGATTCACGTCATAGGACTGGATCAATGAGTTCTTCAGCAGATGGAGTGCATATGTGTGTAATTAGTTGCGTGCTGAAGAGGCTATCAGCGTTCAGAAGAGAATGAGTCAGCTTGGCCGGTTGTCTCCCACACACCTTAGTGCCCTAAACCTTTGCCACTGATGTCTGACTCAACCGATACATCATAGTCAAAGAACTGGTCAATCATCTGCAGAACAATAGAGTGGAAGAACTCTTTAGAGTTTTGTTCATCATATACAGAGCAGTAAGTAGGTCTTGCATGCACACATGCTTGTGTAGTCATTGTGGACTGAAGTGCCTGCAGTGTAATGTAAAATCTTTACTGTTATAGCTTTAACAAGCACACACAAGGGCATCCTACGCTGAGCTGCCAGTTTATTAGGTACTGCTTCCAAACACTGGGTACAGTGGGTGAAGGACATGACACAGACCTTTTTTGTCTGACTAAATTTTTTGCCTTTTAAAAAAGAGTTCAAATGCTTAAAACGACAACATGCATATTGAGTATATCTCTCATATATGTATTTACTTTAACTTTTCCATTTTTTGTTTTTTTGTTGAGTTAATTTTTCACTCGGTGAAACAGTCAAAATGTTATTTGGTGTGTCCATTCATCATGTGGAGTAAACATTTATGAAAACAGTTACACATTCAGCACAAGCTCTCAAAGTTCTGTGGTCAGTATATTAATCAGTGAGGCCAAATGCTAAAATTGATACTATTCCTGTACATTTTTTGGATCAGTTTTATGGAATTTAGTGGAAAAAGTTACCAAACTATATAAACAGGGAGGCTGTATTGTTTTAGGACAGGAAAGGCTCATGACTTATACAAATTTGAAGGAAATATTTACCCTTTGATAATTTCTATCCGAATGGGAGCGGTCTCTTGCAAGATGGCAGTGACCCCATTCACAGGGATGAGTATGAAAATGATGTAAATCATATGCAATGGCCTCCACAGTCACAGGATCTCAACCAAGTTGAGCACCTATGGGAGACTTTGAAGTGACATTTTAGACCAATGTCATCAAAACAACAATTAAGGGCTTATCTTTTGGAAAAATAATGTTACATCCCTGCAGTACAGGACCAGCCAAGGGGCACTGAAGCTGTTGTAGTGGCTTGTGTCAGCCCAGTATCC